GAGAAGAGGGATTTCGCAACAGTTTATTTACAGTTCACGGAATATCAAAGCGGTAAAAGCAATCAATTAGCACATTAGGCCCAAATCATGTAACAAAATCAGATAATGGATAAAGCCAACTATAACAATTATTCTAAGCTCGAATTCTTGAATCCTGAACCAGAGATTCTGGGTTCACTCCCCAACAGAGTCGCCAGAGCTGTCACACCTCCTTTTTTCATTACACCCCGGAAGGGTATAAATAAAGGAGTTTTTCCAATTAAAGGACAATCGAAACGGGATTTATTGTTAAAAGATTCAGAGTCTCCACTTGGGAGTTTTATGGTGTCCCAAGTCACCGGTTTTAATCCCGAATCAAGGAAAAGTTTGACTCTGTTTAACAGTCCGCGAACCAGAAATCCGAGCAAGGAATTCTATTAACCCGGGAGAAGGTGTTAGGCATTCCCGAGTTCCGTGGTTCTAGCACGGTCGCTCAACTGTTATAATTGGCCTATTATCTGATTCTAGTACAGGTTTTAACCTATGGTATAATTTTAACTTTTAACCGCTTTTAATTATTTTTAAACGAAGATTGAACGTTGTTTAAAACACGTCTTTGGATCTCGCCACATGAAATGCACCCGTAATCCTAAACATATTTCATTCAACGTTTTAAGATTTGATTTGGGTCACATGAAATGCGCACCCGAGTTTAATAAAGTAAAATTATTAAATAACGCGCTCTAAAGCGACTACGTGTTTTTAATTTTATGAGGGCCATGGAAAATTCGCTAAATGGCACGTCTCAAATTTAATTGCCTAAAATTCTTATTTTTAAAATTATGAGGGCCATAGACTATTGGTGTCATTAACATCGTTCTCGATGAAGTTAAAGTTCCCTATGGTCGTTTAATTAACAATCAAAGGCCACAAATGGGCTTCCTATGTGAAGTCCAGAGCCAGGAAGGCTAGCGAAAGGCCTGGGCGTGACTAGGCCGCAATTATGACCCAAATTATACTCGAAGAAGCTGTTAAGCTTGGGCCCAGGAATGAGCCCAATTTCAAAACCCCAACAGGACTGAGTGTAGAACTCAGCATTGAGTCCCTGCAGGCCAAAACCCAGCGATATTCAACAACATGTTTGATCTAGTTTTTCTTAGCAAGCAATGACAATGGAATTCTCATTAACGAACAACATGTTCGATTTAGTTTTTAACTTGTATCACTATGAGTAATGCATTTTGACCTTATCCTACTATAGAAATTTTTTACATATCTAAACAATTCAAAAATTCATTCTCAACCCAATGCATGCACCTAATTACCTTAAGTACCCAGAGACTTATGCCAATCAGACCATTATTTATAAAGTTTTATTCCCACAAAGCAGGCAGTCACCCCCTTTAATCGAATGCACTCTGATTTCAGACAAAACTAAATGATAAGCTAAAACTCAACAGAGTCTAACCACATGCTTGAACATATTCATAACAAACAGTGAATGGCTTAAATCACAGTCCCTATATACAAGATCCAAATGTCCTGAACTACTTACATACAATCAAACCATCAGACCATGTGTTTCATCACAAACGAAAGGCAACATGAGTTTTCTAAGGAATAACATACTAGTGTTATATTAAAATGGACAGATCAGGCTAAATGTCATTACAATATACCACTAAACTCCAGAAATTCCAAGTAAACAGCTGATATTGATGATTAAAAGGAAAACAGTATTCATTCATGAGGATCTTCATGTAATTATAGCTCTCATACTTGCATTTCATCTCCTATAGAATCAGGGAATACCTGGAATTAAACAAAATAAGAAAAAGGGAGAATCAGCAGTAGACAGCAGCATGTTCCAGTAATAGAAACAGACTAACAAAGCATGTTCAAAACCCAGAAATGAAGTACTGCAACCCAGAAACCAGTCTCAAACACCCAATTAAACCAGCTGACCTTAGAACCAACCTTAATGACTAAGTTTCAAGCCATTTCTAAGCTCAAACAATCAGGAAAATCGATTCAGGAAGAAGAGGATTTCATATTATAAAGCTCAAACCCAATGAAACAGTATTTTCTACAGAAGTTTCAGCTGTTTTTGTTTTCCAGAATTTTTATTCTCTTTCAAGTCTCTTGGGTCTGTATTTTAGCTCTTGAATCCCTGCCTTGAAAGGCAAGGTAGAGATGCCTTTATAAGCAAGGCATTAGGGCAAGCCTCAAGAGTTTATTTTTGCCCTTTGGTCCCTTTTTAATTTTCATTTTAGCTTAACACCCCTAGTTCAAATTCAGATTTTGCCAAGTAGTCCCCCCCAGCTTCCTAGAAGCTTCCCAGACAGTTACAAGTAGATTCCCTCACTAAGACTGCCCAAACTAACCCCCATACCCCTGCTATATACCTTAAACCCCAAATGAGACATGAGTCAAATTAACCCACGGCTGAATCAAGTGAACGGGCTGCCCTTCCTTTATAGATGGGTCAGACCCAAAGCCCAAATAGTTAAATGAACCCAACTAAATTGGTAACAATAAAAATAACACACAAACGATTTCTTAAAACTGAACTGGTTGATTGATTAACCTGTACAAACCAACAAGGAATTAACTAACCTAATGAATAGACCAGAATAAACTAATTAAACTAGACTAATGAGACCAACATAAACGGGAGAAAATCAGAGGCTTGACTATAACCCAACAAATCAAGAACACACATATTTTTAAAGGGACTTGAAAGAAAAATAGAGGGAATAGAAAACAACTCAAAACATCAGAAGATAAGTCAAATATTTAAACAGAGGAAAGGAGAAGAAAAGAATAAGGACGGAAAGGTGAAATAAAAACACAATAGGTCATGCTGAGGGATAGAAACTCACCAATCGGACTCGAAATTGGGCCGACACAAAGAACTAGGCCAAACTTATGTCCATCCTTTGTTCTTTGTCAAGAACAACTGAGTGACATCTGTTTCGCCTAGTCCGAACCTCAAAGCTTTATAGAACAGCACCTCCCGAACATGCATGCTACCAGGATTGACAGAAAAACTGATTTTGAACTTTTGGGGTTGACCTCAGATTTAAGATTCGCAGCTCCGGGCAGATTCGAAGGAAATTGGTCCGGAATTTAGAAAGAGGGGAGTGAGGGGGTCATGGGGTGTTNATCAACTGCTCAGATCAATACCGATCGAAACGACGTCGTTTCGTTTGAGAGGAAATCCGAACCGGGTTAGGCGCGGGTTGGGATGGGTACTGGGTGGTTATGTTTGGGCTGGGGAAATATGGGTTGATTTTGGCCCAGATTTAAACCCTCTTATTTCCTTCCTTTTTTCCAATTCATTTTCTTTAAAAAAAAACAATATTTTCCTTCTTTCAAAAATTAAAACTAAAACCTAAATTAAATCCTAAACCAAATTATCCTACCATATTAAATTAATTAACCCTAATAATTGCTACTACAAATAATTAAAAACCAATTAAAGGAAAAAGACTACCAAAATTCAAAAATTAAAATTAAAAGTGCAATATTTTTGTGATTTTTCCTATTTTTATAAAATAATTTATAAAATTAAATCCTAAATGCAATATATTTTTGTAATTTTCATTAATTAAATAAAATAAAAATGCACAGACAAATGCAAATAATTATCAGAAAATGCCACGAAAATTTCCAAAATTGCAAATACTGAAAGAAATTGTTTTATTTTGAATTTATGGGAGTAATTCATATAGGGCAAAAATCACGGGCTCATAGGTGGCTTGCCTAGCTTCTACGAGTAGGCTCCATCACGACCCCCGATGGTGGAAAATCCGGTTCGTGACAGGATATGATCCTAAGTTTTTGTTTTCATTTTTCATCTCCATGTATACACGGACACCCATATCGTTCCTAATTTCCATTGGAGGACAATTCTCGTTGACAATGTATTTGATTTCTATAATTTTTTCGGATGTATCGATCATTAATTGTTGTGCTATTGTGGAAATCAATATACTATAACTCGCATCATCATCGACTACAATGCCATCGACCTGAAATTCTCTAAATCTCCCATAGCTATCCCAACTCTCATTCAATTGAAGCATAATTAGTATTTTGGACATAATTTGAGTTTGTTGTAGAAGAATTGTAGAAGATTTAGGAGTTTTTGATTTGTGAAATCAGAAAAAAGGTTAAACAGAGCCTATCGCAAAAACAGAGTATGGAAATTTTGAAACGAAACCGATGATAATTATGAATGTGCGTGATTTGCGTTGTGGAAGATCTGGAAGAATATTAAATTCCCCAATTTTAGTGCGCCTAATTAAGGAATCCTACAACTACAATTATTCCTTATTTAATGCATTGTATATATTTTGTAGAAATACTATTAGCATGAAGGGTAATATGCAAACTATGAACATATTTGGTAATATAGTTTCCTATATGCTATAGGAACGAAAATTTCCCTAAAAACTTCTCATTAATGGTAGAACTGTAAGTTTAAGCAAAATTGTTACCAAATTTAGAAAGGGGTCATTCTTTTTGGAACGGACCAAAAAGGAGATAGGTTCACATAAACTGGAACAGAGGGAGTATTAGATAGGATACAATTACATAGCGTATTACTATATTATATCTAACTAAAGTAAATTGATTGAACATATATGCATCGTCATCATCATCATCATCATCATCATCATCATCATCATCATCATCATCATTATTATTATTATTATTATTATTATTACTACTACTATAAAAGTACATACGTTCAATGCAAAATATCGATGAACTGAATATTTACGTGCAATTATTAACATGCAACACATATTTACAGTAACTAGTAGACATATATATACAAATATGTTTTGATATATATAGTTTGCTGACTACTATTATTTTTGAGAATAACTAAAAATATACATTTCTAAAAAATATTCCACATCCAAGAAGAAAATATAAAAAGCCCATCCGACTCTTTGGGTATCTTCTATCCTGATCATAAAACCCTTTTGGGTAATAGAGAAGCAGTAAAAGTACTACTGCCGTGTAGTTTCTTCCTCTCCAAGAAACTACAATCTCTCTTCCTTTTAATTAGTACTCATCCCTATCAAACTCATTAGAAAAAGAAAAAAAATTCAGAAAAAGGGAAAAAAATCAGAAAAGAAAAAGCTTTCGACTAATTCAGAAATGGTGGAACTAGAAAGAGAAGACATTGCTGCTGCTTTACTTCTTTCTTGGTTGAAATACACTGCTGTTAGTGAGCAAGATGTCCAAAATCTGGCCACCATTTTTTATGAGCAAAGAGTCCAGGAAATTGCAAAAATCAAAAAGAAAAATTTCAAAGCCAATCCCAAAAAAGATTCGAATTTCACCCTCTACATTGACAAATTTACCAAAATTACCCCCAGTTCAGAATTTGAGAGGAATAATTGGTACTATATGTAGTGATCCATTTGAGAAGCAATTGACAAAATCTGATGTTGATGAGCATCAGGGGAGGCTATTATTAAACAATGAAGATGTGAGGAGTAAATTGTTACCATTATTAAATGGTAAAAATGGTGAAAATCTGGCTCATGGTGTAAAAGTTACAACTTTTGATCAATTGTGCAATTCTTATAAGATGAATTTCAAGACTTGGGGAAATTACAGAAGTTATGTTCTTTTAGGAAGTTGGAGACAGTTTGTTAAAGATCATAAGTTGAAGGAAAATGATCATGTTACTGTTTGGATGTTTAGACATAATCAAACTAATAGCCTTTGCTTTGCTATAACTTGGAAAAGAAATTTTAGCAAAGATAGGTAGAGGGGCGGGCCCATTATCCTAAGGTGGGGGACCATTATCCCGAGTTTCGAAGGCTTTTTCGATCCTGAGGTTGACTCCAGATGAATTTCTCGGTCATGTTGAAGTAACTATATAGTAGTATTAGTCTAACAATTGATTAGTCATTAGAGTATTTTAATTTATTAGTTAGTGATTATCTAGAAGGTGGAAGTAATAGTATTATGTTTTTCTGTAGGGGAAGTTCAAATTTTGTTTGGTCCTTTTATGAACAGAAAGGACACATGAATTTTCCCAGTAAATATATATAAGAATAGTTTCTAATATTTATATAAAAGCTCTTAGTTTTGAAACTGTATAAAAGTGAGTTTCAAATTTACAATGCAAGTTTAATTGCAGTTACAATTATCATCTGGTACTCAAGTTGAGAGCTTTCTTCTTTGGAAAGGGCCACATTTGCTCATTACTCTTCCAAATTGAGCTCCATTCTGAGGTTAATTTTAAAGCATTGAAGGGAAGTCTTGGCGTAACTCGTAAAGTTGTTGCCATATGATCAAGAGGTTATGGGTTCGAACCAATGCAGGGTAAGGCTGCATATAATAGACCTTGTGGTCCGGCCCTTCCCCAGAGTTAATTTTAAAGCATTGAAGGGGAGCCTTGACGTAACCGGTAAAGTTGCCTCCATGTGACCAGGAGGTCACGATTTCAAGTTGTGGAAATAGCCACTTGCAGAAATGCAAGGAATGACTACATACAATGAACCCTTATGGTCTAGTCCTTCCCGAACCTCGCACATAGCGAGAGCTCGATGCATGTAAATTTGGACATCTTTTCTTTAAAAAATTGCACATGAAAATCTACCCATTTCACCCTAGGAATCCCTAAGTGACGACGTCAAATATGAGACGATCTGCTAACGACAAGAATATAAGTGAACCAAAAGTGCAACAAAAGGCAAAATTGAACCTATTATAGCAACTTCCCATTTTTTCCAGATTACCAATCAAGCTGATTACAAATGATTTCCTTTAATCGCCTTTACACCATTTGTATTTTGTGCATAGAACTTTTATTTACTATTGAACAAAAACTAAACTTGACCTGTTTATTCATGGCTTCCTCCACTCTTGAATTCTGATTCATGCCCAACTACAAGGAAATCAGATATGGCTTTTATACTGACACTCTTCATATTAGAACAAAATAATTGACCACAATACAATAGTGGAACTTGCAACTGGCAACTGATTGATCCTCAGTACCTATGGTCCAACTAGAAGAAAAGAGTCAAATGAACAATTGAAATTAGGGATTGTACATATTGGAAATAGAGAACTACTAAGTCCTCACTTTGCTAAGTTTTTCTGAACTGATTTCCTAGTTTGCAAAGTTTTCCAGTAAGAAAAGGCAGCAAATTTATTACAAAAAGTAGGTAGATATACGAGTTCATGCTTCTATTCTTTTTATGTTGGTGAAGCAATAACTTCTGTAATTTTATCCACAAAATGCACAATTTTAGGCTCTTTTTCATGGTAGTCCCTTTGTATCGATTCGGTCAAAGGCAAGGAAGTAATTTCGATGAAGCATCAATGTCCTCGAGATGTTCCGTATATGCCTACTCTTTCCTCCAAAAACAGCTTACTCCAATTCCTTGAGAAAATCTACATTGTCAACAAAAACCTGCATGTTTTCCAAAGATGTTATAGACTCACGTATTCAACAACAGTAGAACTTACGACTAGTGAACTAGGGGGAAAAACACATAGTTGTAATGTTAAGAGTATTACCGATTTCCAACCATCAGGATCTAGGCATGCTACAATTTTGGTGCTGATACCAGGTAGAGGTCCTGGTTCCCTCGTAACTTTTCCGCCACACAGTCTTATAGCTTCTGCTGTCTTGTACACATCATCTGTGCCTATAGCTATCTGTTGGCAGAAGTGTAAGTCAGTGAACTTTGGATGGAATGAGTAAGGAATCAAGCTAAATGTCTCGTATACGAAACACAGTAGTTCTTTTTCTTTGTTTCTTTCTGTTTTCATTGATAACAGAAAATATTTGCTCTGAAGGGACGCAAGCTTGGTTGATTCTTGAGTGTACTTTGGTAATAGTATGAAAGATCTAATGACCGTAACTATTTTTTCACGTAAGCCGTTGCAAGCAAATGGTTTTGAAAGGCTTTGGCCATTTTTGGTTATAGGAATTTAACTGGTTCAGATAGTGTGCTACCAATATAACATATGACATGTAAAATAAAGGTGCTACTATTCTATGGAGTGCTACCTGTGCATATGCATTTCCCTTGTCATATTCAGTGACACCATAATTATATGTCAACTCCATCACAGCACTCGTATCTTCTGGACCATATCCCAGCATTGCTATTGTATACTGCAAATTTCAAACAGCTTTATGTAAGACTATTTTATTCAATAATAAACAAAGAAGTTTCCATCGGCTGTCTTCTATATGCATGTTTATTTAGTTTGTTAGAAGTTGCTTCGGATCAAGCTACAAACTTGGTATGTCATGAAATTTGTTGTACGGCTGGTAACAATAAGGCAGTAGCAGTTAGCAACTATCTTTCCTTTCTACAAACACTAGTTAGTAGTTGTTGTTTCAGCTGCTAACCTATTAGAAGTTGCAAATCAACATTTTAACAACTGCAAGGGTAACGGATATGACGATATCACCACAGCGTATTCATGAAACTCAAATCAGATATAAAGCAGCATATTCAGTACTGGCAAAAAATAACATCTATTCCAACATTCCAAAAGCTTGACAGATTCAGAATAGAAAGGTGAAGATCACTAATCTTCAGCCTCATTCTTGGTCACTAATTTATGTTTTCTCACTGAACAAAAGTCACAAGATCAGAACCTTGACATAAAACACTAATATGCCCTCAAGTCCATTTTATATGACGCGGTTTAAGATGTTAATTTGACTTATAATTATATTAGGGACGGTGGAAGAAAAATCTTCAAGCAATGGTTGAATTATTAGTTTGAGAGATAAATGTCACTCAAGTTTACAATTTTAGTAGTTTAATGAAAGTTGTGAAAGTTGTAGAGAAATCGAGTGGTGTCAAACATCGTATAACGTCTCAAAATGAAATGACTGTTATATAAATTGAGATAAAGTGCTCAAAAGAAAAATTATTTTGACTCTTAAAATAGTAAATAAGTCAACTACTTCCATTTTTTAATTTTTTGCATGAAAGTATAACAAAATAAATTCGTCCCTAGTCTCTACAATATAAAAGGTTACATCACAAAAAAGAATATTGAATATAAGAAGTCAGTCAATAGGTAATGATATCAGATCGTGATACAGCCATTGAATTCCTGAAACTTGTCGAAAGGTACAAAAATTTAACATTGCTCTCATCATCAGCGGAACTGTATCAAACCATTTAGGATGTCGGAAAAAAAGAAACTGTCTCTCATAGAATGTGATGCAGGAGCATGAAAGAAAGCAGAGTGCTCATCAACACTTACAAAAGCGGCATAGCAAGGCAGTCAAATTGAAGTACTACTACGAGTAGACTTTGAACCATGCACATTAAAGAATAGCATAAATANCTTTGCTTGAATTGTTTCTTAAGAGAACGCTTGCTTGGGAAAACACCAAAATGTATGGAAATGCATCAGAGAGTAAACCTATCTCCACCGTGCAATATAATTACATATGCATCCCACTAACTTATCTTCTTACTAATATTCCAGGCAAGAGGTATTTAAGCTGCATACACTAGGTCAAACATCCATGATGATTTCATTTGTTATGCCGACTGTTTAAGAAAATCTGCCAACTTACCTTGTATTCCGGGTTGTCACGTGTGCGGAGAAGCTTCATACCATAAGCCTGAAGATAAAATTATGGAAAGTAAGGATTTCCGGCTAATTCAGCCAATAAGAGCACAAGACTAGCAGAAAGTACAATAACAACAATACTTATGAAGTCGTAGTAATCTTACCTTCTCATAAAAATTTATGGCGCGGTCAAGATCTCCGACTCGAAGCATTACTTGGCATAGGGGCTCGGGTGTTGGACCCCTCTCTAAAAGTTCAAACTTGTAACCATCAGGATCTTCAATAAATGCAATAACTGTCTTCCCTCCTTTAACGGGACCTGGTTCCCTGCTTACTTTCCCTCCCTTAGCCTTTACGAGTTCCACTGTCTTTGAAACCTATTGCACAACCCACAACCAGGTAAGTATATAACAGGGTTATGCAAATAATACACCGCAATTTAGCGACCAACGACAAAATGCAGTAACAGTTAAGAAAAGAAAGGGCCTTTCGAGATATACAAAATTATACGTTCTATGTAAAGTTCCTTTCACTCTCTATTTATAAAGACACTTACATCCTCTACAGCAATTCCGAAATGGCCAAACCCAGATCCGATATCATACTTGTCAACTCCATAATCTGACGGTGTCATAAGATGAAAACATTAGATTCTGACAATGTAGAGCTTGTAAAAGAGAAACTTAATTGCAGCCGTAAACATTTGAGTTGTGTGCAGAAAGAAAAGGAAATGGCATACTGATTCGGATAGCAGAGCAACTTACTGTACGTGAGTTCAATCACAAAATGAGAGTCCTCTGGTCCATATCCTAGAAATGCATTTGTGTATCTTTCCTCGGGGATGTCACGCTTTCTCAATAATTTCATCCCTAGGCACTCCGTATAGAATCTGAACACAATTATGGAAGGTTAGAAGAGGGAGTAACAGAGAATAAGATCATGACATTTGAACAGAATAAGATTAGCAAAATATGGAGTGTCAAGATATTTGTACTTTATTGTCTTTTCAAGGTCCCCAACACGGTAAACTACATGGAGCATTCTTCTTTTGTCCTGTTTGACCCACTCTAGGACATTTTCTTGGGTAGTAGTGGTGCTTGCTTGCGCCATATTTCCCGCAGCGCTGACCAACAAACTGCCCCCTTTTTCTCTTAACAGATTAGAAGCTTTAAGGCCAAAAGATTGCAACTGTGGAACTGCTGCAGAACCATCAATAATACCAAGTAAGCAATTCTCTTACCAACTGATGCACACACTAAAATCCTGGGATACAGTAAAGTCTGAAGGTCAACAGACACAAGCAACAATTTCCACCAATAGCATACAAATCGACCACATTCACCGCCGTGTTGGTGAACTATGTTGCCAGGACTCTCCAAAATATTGCCACATGTATCAAATCCTCCAAAAATGCACTACTTTTAGAGGATCCGAAACGCACCCTGCGACATATTTGGAGAGTCCGAGCAACATAGTTGGTGAGCAAATCATAATAGAAAATTGGCGCAAACTATTTGATCATCACTGTTTCAAATTATTGTAAGTTATATCCTTCTTATCCCCCTGAAGACAAAACTCACACTACTCTCAGTGCAAAATACAATTGTAGAGAAAGAGTAAGAGAAGACATCTTAAAACAGAAATACTCCAGCACCAACCTTTTTAATTTACTGCAGCACATGTTTCCATGTTAGACATCATCTACGGGTGGTGATCTTATGGTTAAATGTGCGGTAGTGGCTTTATTAATGCATAGAGAAGCAATCACCCTAACTAACTAAATAACTGCCAAGTTAAGCGAATTGAGGTATATAGAATGATGATAGAAGCGATGATGAAAATTATGCTGTCTGAAACCAGAAAACTTTTAAATGAAAACAACAACAAAGCGAGGAATCCCTTCCACTGAGACTCTAACCCCAGAAAATGGAGCTCTTTTATTAATATAAGAACCAGAGATGAAAGATGTGACTCTTAAATACTAGATCCAAGCCAATGGGAAATAGAAATGTAGTGAACCGCATTAGCTATACATTTTAAAGCATACGACTGGCATAAACGATATAACTACAAGTTTTTATATTTTCTAAAGTAGACTGCATAAAAACGACATTAGCGCTCTAATTTTCTATGAAAATAATAAAATCTTTGCTTCTAGACCAATGAAACTAATAGTAAAGAAGAAGAAAATTCAGCACAAAAGACAGAGATAAACTACTATTTTACGTCAATCAAAGAACATTAACTATCCATATAACAATTTCTTAAGAGTAAATTTGGCCCCTTCAAGAAAGGTTTTCTTACTATCAGAGATACAGACAAGTTCCATCACAGACTAGAGTAGACACATCAGTTATATGCCAAAATCACATTTCCACGTTCCACATACGAACATATAATTTTTTCAAGAGACGATGTTATCAAAGAAAGAAACTTCTACATTAGTAGCATTACAACATTTTCTTTAACCTCCATCCTGCGGTAGCCGAACTAGATACAGCAAAGGGGGTTCAACTGAATCACTTTCGCCGGAAAATTATACTACGCAAATAGGACAAAAATGATTTTTTTTTAGTTAAACATACACTGGTGAATCCACTTAACATAAGAAAAGATCCCAAACTATGACATTCTAGTTTTTTTTTTTTTTTTTGAATCCCTTGTATAAATTCCTGGCTCCGCTACTGCCACCCCGGCAGCAAACAATACTTCCTTGTGCATTATTTGTAAATAAGCATATTGCACAAAGAAAAGACCCTTAAAACCATAACTGCATACTGGTAACTCGGTGCACATTCTATACTACAAAAAATACGAAATGGATACACACAAAATTGATCATAAATTGAGAAAAATAAATTAAACCAAACAAACAAGGATTCAATATGAGCAATTAAAAAAAGAATTTAAAGTGGGTACATAAGAAATTGGCCATATACAACAAACCAGTGAAATCTGGACAAAAAAAACTGAATTTTATATACACTGACAGTGTAATATTATTTTACACCAGTCTGAATTTTAACTGTGATAACAGGTTAATTACCATTTTTTAACATATTACCAATTTACTACTAATATTTATCAAGATATTTACATAATAAGTTGACCTGATTGTTTAAACTCAGAAATAAAAAGAAATTTAATAGTATTAAGGGCTGATCGAAAAAAGAAAAACAAAAAGATAGAGAATTTACCGCTACCCAGATGAAAAGAACTGAACTTTCGTTGAGAATTATGAGAAAGAAGCGAAACACAGAATCTTGAGGACCCAGAAAATTTATGAAGAGATGAAAGTGAAGGCCTAATTGAAGAGGCCATTGGTATTATCCTCACCATTTTTATTTAATTTTTTAATGTCAAGCTGCTTTTTTTGCAGCTATTTATGAGACAAATGGCAAAGGCTGAAAATGGGAAAGAGGAAAATGAAGATTTGATTTATGTGGGAGTGAAGTGTGGAGCTAAACTAAAGAGAGAGAATATACAAAAAACAAAGCGTTTGATTAATTTGATGATGAGTAAGGTTGTATGATTGCGATGGAGAAGAGACACGAGACTTCACCTCTTCTTGGGCTTTTGATTTCAAGAATAAAATAGGAATCTTTACGTAAATAGCCGGTCATATTTATTGTTTAATTTTTTAGTAAATATACATAGATTATACATTGATCATATATAACTATACACATATAATACATAAATTATACATATATTATATCTCTACCGGCTATTTTTAGTTTAAGTGGTTAAGCGAGCGGCTATGTGGATTAATTTTTTAGTATTAGATTTAACTAAATAGCCGCCCACCTAATCACTCAAACTAAAAGTAACATGTGAATATATAATTTATTATGTATAATTCGTGCATCACATGTGTATAAATGTATGTAATCATTGAGTAATTTATATATACCGACTAAAAATGTAAACAGTAAAGCTAGCCGGCTATTTGTGTTAAAAGAGAGAGATGGGCTATCATGACCCGAATAGCACAAAAGAAGTATTGGCCCGCTCAAATTAAAAATAGCTGGCGATTGCATAATATGCATATATTATTGTATGTAATACATATGATCGTGTATAATCTATGTATACTGACTAGAAAAAATAAGCAGTAAATATTATTGGCTATTTGTGTAAAGATCCCCTATCATAAATCATGAATTTTTGGTTGGCTTAACTATTTAACCAAGATGTACAACTCTCTAAAGCATGTGTAATTGAGAGGTTCGAAATATCAATGTTTTGTTATAGTCAAGTGAAGATTATCGAATAAGTTTCAAACCTGTTTACTTTACACTTATTGAGATTGAGAGTCAAAGAACTACTGAAAACTTCGAAACGAGGTGTCTTGCAGGATTAAGCCTACATAAGGAAAAATGAGTTTGGACAGAGCAAGAATCAAGGAGACTTGATCATTTGATGGAAATATATAAAAAGGAGATTTGATTTTTATACACAGCAAATATTATTTACTTATATGACTATTGAATTTTGTATGATCATTTTTTTCTATTTAACCGAGTGAATATTAAAGATCATTTCCTAAAAATAGGACTAACAATGGAAGAGTACTAATAAATGAACCGTGGACCTATTTGTTTTACAAATTCAACCTAACTTAAACTGGTCATTTCGTTGTTAATTTAAGATAGGATTAGCTACTACTCTTTCAAAAATGGGATAAACATATGATACACGTCATAATACATGCAAGAAAAATAAAATAAAAAAAAGAGACAAGTCTCCACCTAGCTAACTAGCTAAGGAAGCCAAGTGCCCCTAACATATTTACTCGCTATACTCATGAATTGACACCTCGTCCGCCTAGATCGTCATAGGACTCATTGTGTCACACCCAAAATTTACATGTTGTGATGGTGGCTATCTTAATATTAGGTAAACCGATAACCTCAATAAAACACCGTAATCTTTTAAGTTTGAAAATATAATATTTAAAGTCAACATGAAAATCTCACAAATACTGATATAAAACACTCCAAAAAATTTCGGTGTCACTGAGTACATTAGCATCTAAATTAACATAGTCTGGCTGATAAACCACTGTTTGAAAAAATAGAACAGTACAAACAACTGAAAGAAAAGATAGTTAAGGTGTGCGAACACCAAGCATCTACCTCGATGTTTACCTTGAAAATGGTAATTACAATTGAATTTGATTTTGTGGTTCTAAAAATACGTGTTTAATGCTAGCTGTTAAGCGATAGATGCTAAGTGTGAGTTAGGAAAGTGAGATAAGAGCTTGAAGACAATATGTTATGCAAACCGAATGGCCGTGAATCGGGGTCTCGAGCTAGCCTACGCTGGGCCTCGAGGTCGATCTAAAGTGCTAGGCTGGGGATGGTCGAGTTGTGCCTCGAGCCTTTTGGGGACGGGCCACGGAGTTTCATAATGATCGTAAAATCGGACTCTTCAATTTTAGTCGTATACATATAGTCTCCACGTTTCTTAGAGTGAAAATGATAAGAAACGGTCTTGAACTCTTGCCGCTTCGACACTTCTATCATGACGTCAGTTATGCTATATCAAGCGACTGATGTGACAAAAGCATATCTAAAGGTCACGTCCATACAACCCTTGAAAAGTCTTTGAATTGATTACCCCGGTTGGCTATCTTTTGGCCCGTTCCAACGTACATGATGGCCTCTATAAATACTTTTTCCTTCACCCCTTGTTTTCCACTATATTATCAAGCCTTCAAAAAAGTTCTTCTTACTTCTCTCTTGTGTCCTTTCTCTGATCACAATCTCTTCTTTCCTCTGAAATCTTTTAACAAGAATGGCGAAGAATTTCACCTATGTCCCTCAGAAAGATGTGCCTTCCCTTTCTTCACGCTCGTCTAAGGGCAAGGCAACAGTACCCCCTCATCTTGAGGAATGCATCCCAGGACCCTGCAAAACGACCTTCGATTTCAAGGTCGACAAGCCTTCTTCGAAGCCGGAAGGATGTGAACCCATGTCCCGATATATTAGTTTAGTAGTAGACGCCGAGAAGGTAAAGATTGACTGCCGCTGGGAGGACGTGGTGCTGGTGGAGATTCCTTCCCGGGGGGAGGACATACATACAAGGCCAGCTTCCTTAGTATGTATACATATCCTTTACTCTTGGCCTGGTGGATCCGTCCTCACCTTCAATAGACCCCGTGATCCTCGACTTCTGCGAAAGATATCGAGTGACTCTCGACCAGATTTATTCATCATTTTGGCGTATTATTTACATGATCAGATATTTTGCGAATATGATTAAGGGGATGCCCTTCACCCTCCTCCACCCGATCAGAATGTACAGTCCCTGACTCTTTCATGGGGGCTAATTAAGCTCTAATGTCGGGCCTCGAAAGCCTTTTTTTCTTGTACTGACGAGTTTAGGAACAGAGAGTGGACGAGCTGTTTTGTACGAGTTAGGACCTCGGACCTGATTCTAGTGGAGAAGATGTCGTTCCCTGAAAGGTGGAACACGAAACGTAAGTGGGTACGCTAATTAAGTATTCTCTTTTCTTTTTGGATCAATCTCCCCATGAACTGACTTCCTCCGCTGATACAGCTGCCGTGATGTACCCTAGCGCGGTTAAGGATCTATCGGGCTAGGTTAGCCAGCTAGATTCGACTTGCCCCTATGTTGATAGCGTGTGGCGTGATCTGTCTAGGTCTCGATGGTAGGCCAAGGACCACTGTAAGCCTTCACTTCTGTTGTAATTGAATATCTCAAAAGAACTATCACTGATTGCGCCCTTATTCCCTGTGTTTACATTTTGCATTTTCGGAGGTCTGGGTGAGGCCTCCATGATGAGAGACACATCGCCTGGGGAAGTAGATACCCCGAAACCTGACAAAGAGAAGAAAAGCGAAAGAAATCATCGACTGAGTCTTCGAAATCCAAGAAGGCCAAAGTGGAAGAACCTAAGGTTGATTCAGCAGCCTTAACTCCTGAACTATCGGGGAGTCCCCGAGCTGAAGGCGAGGAGAAAGATGATTCCTCGGTAGCACCCGAGGGAGGAGAAAACCTAACCGTCGCATATGTTGCTGAGCTGGTGGCTTCTAAATCGGAACTCGATGTTGTTGTTGTCCTACTTTGGGCTGAAGAGGCCTTCGAGGGTGTATCGGGTAATATCCCCGGGCTAGTTGACGGTCAAAATATTCCTCGAGCTGAGGTGCATTCGATAGGCAGTCCGGAGGAACCTAGTTCTGAAGCTCTCCAGAAACAAGAGACAGCCCCGATTGATCCAGTTTGGGTTATTGAAGTGAGCAATTCCCCTCCAAGACCGACTTTTCCTCCGAGGGACATACAGGATGCCCAAAATAAAGAGTCTTTCGATGTGGGAGCGCCCGCCGGAGATAAAGATGCATTTGAAAGGCTTTTTGCTGCGCCCGAGGAAAACCCTGAACTTGATGCCTCGCTTATTTTCAGTGAGATCGACAGGCTCTGTGAGCAGGTAATTTTTTGTGAATTCTGCTCGGCGCCCTGATCTTCGGCTTCCTAACTTTGTTTCTTTCATGGTTACAGGCCAAGGTGCTTTATAATCAGACCTTTGCCAGGTTTCAAGCCGAGTTGACTCGCTACGAGAGTGAGCGCAGGAAACTCACCTTGGAAGCTAACGAGCTTAGAGCTCTTTTTACCAAGAAGGATGAGGAATTCCGTGGCCTTCGAGATTGTATAGAGGCGGCGTCCCGAGAGAAGACTCACCTCACCGAGCAGGTTATATAGTTTTTGTTTGCTTTTGTTTAAATGCTTACCCGACTTTAGTGTTTTAACACCTTCGGGCTGATCTTTACAGCTTGAGAAGAAAGATGTCCTGATGAGGGAGGAGCTCCAAGCCAGAGACTCTGAGATTCTCGAACTCAAATGGCACGTGAGTGAGAAAGCCGTTGAGAGAGATACCCTCCAGGGGAAGGTGGTCTCAGTTGATCATCAACTTCATGATGCGAGGGCGAAGAGTAATAAGTATAAAGATCTTCACACTGAGTTGGTTGCCGCACTATCTAGGGTCAAGGCTGAAGCCGAGACGCTCGTATCCTTATACAAAGAGGATGTTGCTACTGCAAATGCTCGGGCCAGGAATGTCCGAGGAGGTCGAGCTATAATTGACCCAAACGTGGAGCATGTACGGTTAGAATCTCGTAGGCAGGCTCTCGAGGATATACATGCATGGGGTATCGATTTATATGCTGATATCGAGAGAGTGAAGACCCTAGAAGAGGAGGTTGCGACCCTACTTACTTCTGAAGGTGATTCGAGCAGTAGCTCAGAAGATGATGAAGATGAAGGCGAAATCCTCGAAGGGGAAGAGGACGTTGAAGACCCGAGGGCCGCGGCCAGAGCTGTTGAAGGAATAACCTTCGAGGGAGCCATCGAAGGCACAACCCCGGTGGTAGATTAGGGTTTTATATGCTCTCTTCCCTTGTAAGGGCTTTAGGCATAGGCCTGATAAATGCACCTTTGTGGACTTTCAATATA